CAAAAAAAGTTATCGTGCGATTAATTGATTTATTGACTATCGCGACAGGCCTAGTTGATAGATAAATAAATTACAGAACTTTTTTTATGTTCATCATATTTCAAGCAGAGAAGAGCATCAGTGCCTGGTGGCATTAATCATATTAATCTTTAAGTGCCAAAAAATAATCGATTAATATTTTTCGGACGATTAATTGCACATGATACGATTATGCCCTACCCTAATGTTATGTGATGTTGTTTTGGCCCGACGTTTGTAACAGGAAAACTGATCGGTGTAGACGCTTCCAATCAAACCAAAATGTGACATTCCGCCTGTAATCAGCAACAGAGAAACATTACAGCTTTATCTGTGTGCAGGCATCCACCAATGCAATGTTGGATTTTATGCACAGCGGTTTTCCCAGCAGTACTGAGATTAATACCACATTAACAAAACAAGCTGATGCAAAGAAAAGCTTAATCTTATTGTTCAGACACAAACAAGAGAAACTGATTTCAGCAAGCTGGGTAAACCTGCAGAAGCTATTGAATTAGCTCGCACAAGGGATGGAAGAGATTCAACTGACTCACCCTCTGTGTGGTAAATGAAGGGTATAATGAGTCACCAGAATTTTTTGATGGAACTTTAAGAACTTAGAACTTTAAGAACACTGACTGCAGCACATAAAAAAACTTTTAAGCAAGACTGGACTTCTGCCTAATGTGATACCTTGCTCCAAGGTCAAATTGCTCAATCGGAAATATTTGGCTCGGAGCTGAAAGTGAAGCAAAAGCCCAACGTTTCAAACTCTGCAGAGAGTTATTGCTTTTTTATCCTCAAACAAACCCAAAGTTTTTCATGTTAAGCACGAAATAATCTTACGTCTTTGCAGAAAAAAAAATAAAGATTTTGCTTAGGTCAAATTATAGATATGCTCCCACACAGATACGTAAAGTAAGCGCAGAGCAGCTGCTGTTTGTAAGAGTGCCTGACGATGCATTGGGGAGCGGCAAAAAAAAAGTGCTGCGGGGCAGAGCGTTTGCCAGATAGAGGGAGGTTCTGTAACGACCAGTCGACTGCAGCCGTTACACTTCCTTCTGGACCAATAACCACAGGCAAGGCAAGCAGTGTAAACCAAGCCAACATGTTTGCAAAAGCCTTAAGCATTGYTCAGCTCAAGTTTCAGCCGTTAACAACAACCCATTCTGAGTGCATCACGCAGGAAGTCAAGAGCAGTGGAAGTCATGAAAAGCACGCCRCATATCATGTTCACAACCATCCCCAGGAATGTGGACAGTGTTCACAGTACTACAAGGACAAACTCATAATGTTGACATGCTGAACTTAGCAGGGGGAGATGTAAACGCCTTTAAAATCTTTTATTTTGTCTCCTTTTTAACGTTCCTACCTGCTTCTTGTTGCTGCGAGATAAAATCTTCCTGCTTTCAGCTTGATAATTACAAGCTGGCAGCACGGGGAGTCTCCAGTGATCAATGTTTTGCAACACCAGTAAAATTCTTTTGACCATAAAACTGTCTGTTTGCTGCTCCTTCATCTTGAAATAATGGCTGCATTTAGGAGTGCGTTGATACACAAAAGCCTAAGGTTGCTGTGTTTTCGGTGCACGCAGMCACACATACGCCATTCACCATGCAAAACCTGACTCACAAAGAACMGGCTACTACACTGAGCCTGTCTTTTAATTTAGGGTAGATAAATCCTAGATATTCTGCAGAATACACACACGAGACAACAGTTTTTTTAAGCTAGTGAATCAGAATTCCATCGAGGCAGACTMAAATATTTTAGATCCAAATCTACATCAAAAGTTAACAATATAATCCTCAGCTGCCAGATTTATATGACTGCCAGTCACTGCATCCAAAAATTACTTGCTGASAGTTTCATTTAAAAGCTGTTAAACATTGTTGACTTTAAATTTAATGACAACTGCTTCCATTTCTTCTGTTGAGTGTAACAGGTGATCAGAAACKACACCTGGAGCACAAGAATAAACGCTGTTTTTTTAAGCACTTCTGACATTTTCATTATCTCTGTAGCATCCGTCCCTCTGATGAACAAGGTCAAAAAAAATTCCCCTTCTTTCATCCTCACTTCCTGAACTCAAAGCATTTTCATTTTCACCTTTTCAGAACATCAAAATGCTTGAATAGTGAGTAATTCCTGCTGCTCGGCTTTGATGCAGCAAAACGAAGCMGTCAAAGCAGACAGACGAGTGATGTGGATCGACTTGTTTTAATTACGCAAAACAATAATTAGAAAGACACAACGACATTTTCCTTACAAAAATGACTATACTTAAAAACTGGTTTACAGTACGTGGAGTGGAATACAAAACAACTCTACAACCTTTTAAAATGGAGCATTGGCATCTCTTCTTTTCCTAAAAGACTTCACCATTGAACCAGAAGGGAAAAGTTGTTCTAAAGGGTGCCTCACACTTATCACTATCCCTTTTTTTTGGCAACAGTTAAAGAGTAACTTACCCCAAATTAACTTTTTTTAGCTGATAAACTGTCGCGAATGTGTCTAAAATGTTATATAGTACTGTTTCTGTGCTAATTTTGATGTTTTTGTGCGTATTTGTTCAAATCTGTAATATTTGGTCTAAAAACGTGTTTTTACTGCTCATATGGGTAGAGCAGTGGTACTGCAGGCTAATTTGCACATTGGTTAACGGCTCTCCGCTGTGACATGTCCCCCCCCGCCACCACGCGGGTG